TATCTCTATTTATGGACATCTATCAGAAATGTGTTTTTCACCAGGGGCTATCATGAGCTCTCTCTTCCCTCACCTCTTTCTACCATGGACTTGAAATGGTTCTGTATACAACATCTTTTTCCCCCTTGGAACTTTATTTTGGTCTAAGGTTACTTCAGAATTATGTAAACTATCAAATGTTTGACCAAAAGAACGGTACTGGGCTTTACTTGATGGCAATTATCCAGAGATAGACATTGCTTGATGGAAATTTAGGTCAGAGATGCCATGCAGAGTGTAAAAGGATAGCAATGTTTTGTTTTATTTTTGTTTTGCTCTTCCCCCACCCCCTCGTTTCAGAAGTTCTTTATCAACTGGAAGCAATTATCTGTAGGTGAAAAGAGTGAAGGCCTTCTAATGTTTCTGTGGGTGTTTCCTTAATCAGGTTCGTATTCTCTAGAAGAGAACAGAAGCAGGCCAGTGCTTAAGGGCTCCTAGTGGATAAGAATCTTTCCCTATAGTTTTGTTGAGTAACTGATACATTTATAATTACACCTAACTTAAGTCCCTTTCATGCAAATTAAGCTTATATAATTTATATTTTAGAATTTTCTCTTCTAGCTTTTCTCTTGATCTTGAGAGCTCCCAAGAACTCCCAAGTGCGTGGTATGTGTAGATTTAGAAAAGCTTCTACTTGCTTTCAAGTAAATAGAAACTCAAGAAAGATGTCTGCTGGACATAAGTGCTATAATCCTACCACTGAGAAGGCAGAGGATATCAAGTTTCTAGCTAGCCTGGGCTGCCTACTAAAGTGCTTGTAGAAAAAAAAGGGGGGCAGGGTATAAAACTGGTTTTGATTTCTAGCCCTTAATAATGCAACTCCAATCAGAAAAAAGAATCACGAATAAAGGCCACCTTGATTTTCTGTGTTGTTGCCTGACACTGTTAGCTTCCTCTTGAAAAAAAATGAAGGAAAGAAAGAAGAAATGAAGGGAGGAAGGAAAGTGGAGAAGGGAAGGGAAAGGAGGGGAGGGGAGGGGAGGGGAGTGGGGGAGGGGAGGGGAGGGGAGGGGAGCGGAGCGGAGCAGAGCAGAGCCAAGTCTCTTGCCAGGACGGCAGGAATACTCTACCACCTCCTTCCTAAAGACTTGTTATGTGTAGAGCTGACTTGGGGGCCCATGGAGGAGCGATGGTGGCTATTGCCTGTAGAATGACACTCTCTAATTACCTCCTTTTTACACTAACCTCATGTCTCCCCCACCCCTCAACTCGGAACACTGCTCTTTTTTCCCAGACATCTCCTCCATCTCTCACTGTCTCTGGGTAGACACAGGATGAAACAAAATTACAAAGTACACATGTTGAAAGAGTGTACTGGTGTAATCAAGGAAATGCAGTGGATATCACTAGGAAGACAGCTACACCCCCTGGTACACTACTTTGATAAGAAATATATGTAGTAACAAAGAGGTCATGATTTTGAAAGAAAATAGAGGGCACAGAAAGAATTGAGTGGAGGCTGGGGGAAGAGACAGACGGGTGGAAATTATGTACCCGTGTGTGAAATTCTCAAAGAGATTAAATTAAAAAAAAATGCATCAGGATGAAAAAATTTCAGTTCTGTAAACAGAATCAAACTTTCCAACTTTGTGAGGCAAGAGAGTAACTGCACTTGTCAAAGCTGGTAGCTAATTATCTTTCAGTCTCCCATTATCTGAGAGTCCTCACAGGCCTCTAGATTGTCCTCCACCCCTTTTCAAGCAAAACAAACACATGCAAAGCCAGTATAACAATAGTAGTCTATTCAAAAGTTGCCTGGAAGAATTTGGGAGGTGGGAGAGATGGGGGTGGGGAATAAGGGGCCCGTGGGAAGGATAAAATGGAAAGAAACATGCTTTGATTTGCCAAAATAATTTGAATTAAATATGATCTCAAGTTGACCTTCTTTGGCCAATGATGTTTCTTTTAAAAAGCTATAGTCTTAGGTGTTTGATGTAGAAGACAGGACTAGGTTCAATTACACATCTGGACGGTTAAATTTTGGATCTGGTTCAACTCTGTGATTTCTTTAGTGGGAGGGTGTTTTGAAAGAGTTTTACCCTCTCCCACTGCCTCTAGATTATAATGTTTAAATACCCTGTGAAGTGTTTTTGTTTTAAGAGATAATCGTTGATTTTTTTCTAAACTAATTTAACATATGGGGTAACCACAGCCTGAAATGGAGACAACACCCCAGGGACACAGGAAACACACAAGCGTGAGTTGATCTTTGGAGGAAGCACACTTCTAAAAGAAGAAAAGTTATGACTTCTATAAGGCATTGTGCCATTAACAAGGAGCCATACATAAATGTAAAACCTGTACAGTAAAAAATAACTACCCAGACATCAAAACTAGAACAGAAGATGAGTGGATACTAGGTATCTAATTTGTCCCAGAGTATTTGTTTTTGTATATCTTCAATGTGAGTAAAAGGCGTTGACCTGATTTCAGTACTCCCTTTCTGTGTCTTACTCCAATAAAGGTCAGAACTTTTGGTTTGTTGCTTTTTGCAGCATCTACTCTAGTTCATCTAGGGCAATGAAACAACAAATTGGCATTTTTTTTTTAATGGACTAAATATATTAAAAACACAAACATTAGTTAATCAATAGCCATTACTTATAACATGTGGCATAACTGTTTGTATTGATCCGCAAAGTCACCTCCAAACATTTACATCATAGCTGTCTTCTGCCAGAGGCAAGTCCTCTTGTGTGCCCGTTTGTGTAAGCTCCAATTGTCCACTGAAAACCCCAGTAATATCTGATCCTTCAAACTCTGGGTTATAATTGATTTACTTGAAACTCAAAGATTAAGTGACAATAAAACCCCCACATTCTAGCTCTCAAAATAATTGAAAATAACAACACAAATTTAAAAATAGACCATGTTCTGAAGACTTAATATGTAAGACTACATTAGCTTAAATATATTAACGGGTTGTTTTCACATTAGCCTCCTGTCCTGGAAAATGAGTCCCATTAACTCGGCTGCGTTTGTCGTCTTACCATAAAAGTGAGAACATTTTGTATGTTTGTGGGTTGTGGACACAGCGTTAAGAGAATTTAGAATCTCTGACCCTCATAAGAGTTAAAGATTTGAAAAAAGAATTTAGGCAGATAATCCAGATAATTAAAAATTGGGGACAGAGGCTGTTTAAGGAGTTAATATGCCTAGTATCTTTTTTCCCACAAATCGATCTATTTTTTTTTAATAAGGTTCGTTTGAGGTGTTAATGTGGTTTGCTGCGGCCTTGTCTGTCTGTCTGTCGCAGAAGATCAGTTGAAGGGATTTGCTGGTAATTTGAGGAGAGCCATCCATTGGGCTTTGCTCAATGGTCGTCTGGGTCCACAGTTCAGGGCTTGCAGATCAGAAGCCTGGAAACAAAAGGGTTACTTGTTCCCCCACCACCGGATGCTCCCCGCTGATTTTACGTATTTAATGAGAGAGAGGGAGAGGGGGGAGAGAGGGAGGGAGGGAGGGAGAAATTGGGGGGGGGGGCAGGATTGCAGGAAGGGCAAGGTGGTGGGGAAGGACTGGGAGACAGAAGCTGCAGAGCTGGGCTGCCGAGTCCTTGGGACATGGAAGGGACAACAGTAAATCTCTCGGGTGGGTTTCCACCGAGCGGCGTCCCCGCTCCGTGCGGGTGGCTCAGCTGGCTTCCCTCTGCCACCGAGCGATCACATACATTATTTCCCCCAAGATAACACAATCAAACTTGCGTTTACCGATATCCTCTCTTCGCAGCCTGCTTGAGATGTGTTTTAATAAATAAGTGTTTTATGTGAATGATGTAGTAATTGAAACAGGCGCCCCATCCCCCCCCCCTTCGTCCTGCGGGAGGTTCCGCAACCCCAATCTGCTTGGAAAATAAAACGCTTTGTCTCCACCACCACCCCCCACCGCACCCCCACCCGCGCTCAGTGTGTGTTTTATACGTGTGTATATCTCAACCCCCTACAGTAGCCAAGAGAAAGCAGCTAGCCAATGAGAGAGCCCAGTTTCATAAAAGCTGCTCTCTGATTGGCCCTGTGCGAAAGGGCATTGGGAACAAAGAAAAGTCCCTTTCAGGTATACAGGCTGAGAGCTCCTTTGGCTCCACTCCCCCTGTGCGTGTGTTGTGTTTCAGTTCTGACTCCACTGTTCCAGAACAAGCTTGGTGTGTGTGTGTGTGCACCGGGGGGATTTCTATGTTCTTTTTTTTTGCTTTATTTTTGTTGTTTTTTATTTTTATAAAAAAATAATACACGGGACGGTCTGTGACATTTGCTGGTCCATCTTTAATAAAAAAAAATTGAAGAAATTATAATTTCCAAAATAAAGCGGCTGCAACCAAACACACTCAATGCAGTTAGAAGGAAAAGGTCAACTCGCTCCCATACAGACCGTAAGTACGGTTGCGTGGTGTGTCGCTATATAGCACTTTAGTGGGGTATTCATGCAGGGGAATGTGCGAGTTTTATGCATTGAAATGAGGAACTAGTTACAGGGTTTGGCTTTGCATTTAGAACAGCCCAAGAAGGGTGAATTTTATTCAGTGGAGGGTGACTTTGTAACTTCTTTAGACAAATTAAGCTTGACTGGGCACTTGGGCTAACTTAAGAGTAAATTACCTTTTGGGCTCTAACCCAAAGGAGACTAAGAGTGATTCAGTTACACACCCTGGTCCTCCGTGTCAGGTCTCTGGCGCACCTTCCCCCTCCTTTCCTTCTCTACCGGAGCTGAGCTGACCCCCGCCCAGAACGAGCCAGGCAAATGGGAACCCGGGTAGAACAAGCCGATTTCTCTCCTGTCACATCCTCCTGCTCAGTAATTTAATAGTAAACTAGGGAATATTCATCCATTACATGTAATGACTGTAACTATCATTTCCCACTTTCTTAAAAAAAAAAAAAGACAAGAAGAAAAAAACACCATTAAGAGAAGGTGTGTGTGTGTGGGGGGGAAAGAGCCCCACCCAACCCAAACAAGCCCACAAATAGTAACAATGGTGTGTTTATTACAAGTCCCTGTTTGGGAGCTAGCAAAATGTTTTTCTTTGTTTAATACATGAAGGGGGGGTGTTCCTAAAATCCCAGCAGCTCCGAGGTACTCTGCCCTCCCCCCAGGCGTCCGCTGCCTTGACCCCCTTGGGAAAGCCGACAAATTGGAGATCTGTTGAGGAAAGGTTTATAAGCTGTTTCTTTAAAACATCTGCTTTGCTCTTGTGGCCATTACATTTCCCTCCTTCCGAACTTCCGAGATCCTAGATGGCTAAGAAATGCTTCGCATTCATAACTTGTAGCTTCGCCCACCGTAGGGCGTGCGGGGAGGGGGAAGGTGGGTTGCAGGGGGAAGGGAGAAACCTTCAGCTTTTTTTTTTTTTAAAGACCAGATCAGTATTTTCTTGATACGCTTGTCACCATTTTTGTTCTCACGACAACCAATTGAGCCCTTGATCCTCACGTGATGTGAAAGGCTTGCACTGTAACAAAACCGCTCCTTTTAGATGGTTGGTGTTGCTAAGGCGCCCATCCCCCTCTCCCAGCCCCGACATTTCCAGCAAAGCCACTCTCCACTTCCAATCCATCAACAATTCATTACTGCTTTTAGCTTCCAAACGCCAGCTAATTAAAAATACTAAGCCAAGCTCCGAGGCCATCTGACTAAACACAGGAGGGGGGTGGGCGAGAGGTGGAGAGAGGAGGGGAAAAAAATAGAGACGCACTGTTTGCTGCGTGTAGAGAAAGAGAAATTGTCCTGGAGAAAGGTCGCCTTAAAAAAAAAAAAAAAACCTTTTTGACTCTAATTATCGAATTACCACATGACAGATCGGCTTGCGCGGCGGAGGATTTTAACCCCTCCTCGGGGACTATTCTAAGAACTCGGTTCTTTTTTTCTCAAAAACAACATAAAACAGGAAAACATCACATCCTTCAGGTTTCCAAGACAGCCCCTTTTAGACGCCGTTATTTTCCCCGCTCCACCGCCCCCCGCCCCGGGCGAAAGCTGCTCTAACTGGTTTATCAGCTCCCTGCATCGTCTGCTCCCTCCTCCTCCACACCTTTCTTTTTCTCCTCCAGCCTAGCTCCTCATCCCACCCTTTCTTCCTCCTTCTTCTCCTCCCCCCATCCTTTCGCCCCCTCCTTAAGTTACTTGGAGAAATCAAATGTCAGGAGGAGCGGAAAAATGCCACTTCCCGACTAACAGGCGGAATCCAGCCCAGATTTTCAGTCCTTTCTTCTTATTCTTTCTTCCCTTTCACTAATTTATCCCGATGTTAGCACATTCTGTCTCGTTACTAGAGGACGCCTGTAGGTTTGCTACATGAGATCATTACTTACTGATCACGGTGACTCTGAAGTCTGCAACTGAAAGCGGAATGAGAAGTTCGGAAAAGTTTTTTCTCTAATTCTCTCTCTCTCTCTCTCTCTCTCTCTCTCTCTCTCTC